CGCTGAAGCTCTTCTCTGCATCCCAAATCAGTGTGATTTTTAGCCAGTTTCTATGCGATAGCGGCCAAACTCTCTGACTCCCTGGTGGAAGGGCTGAGATGGCAATACAAAGCTTTTCAAACACCAGCTCTGCTCTTATTTCTGAGCAAGAATGCTCAGCTCCTTTTCAGGGAGCTTTGTTTTATTTACATTTGGGACTTTCCATGAAAGCCAATTGTAGAACAGAGTTGAGTGGCGAGACCATTAATTTTATTACCACTAAAGTGTTGGTTCTCTCACTACTCTAGCCCTCACAAGGCTTCTTATGAATCACTTCTGTAGATGAGATTTCTGCTTCCTCATCTTTAAAATACCAAATAACATACCTGGTAAGTGCCAAGGGAATTTTTACCCCCTCCTTCTGTCTCCAGCACCAGGGACTATCAGCTTGATGTTTTGTCTGGTGATGGATAAAACCAGGCTGCTGTTGACCCCTGTGGCTGGGGCTGTGGACTCAGCCTGGCCATAGTGGTCTGTCACATCAGGCAGATTTGTGTTGCTTTGGGGCTTTTGGTTATTTAGTGATTACTATAAATAGTTAAAACCAGAGCAGACTTTGAGGTAAACAAGGGAAAACAGAAGCTCTACTTGCACTGTTTGATGAGGTCACTTTTTTGCAGACAAGTATTGTTTAGAAACTTTCTTGAATCAAATGCCAGAGGCAGGATACCTCTGAAAACCTCTTGAATGAGCACGAGTGGCTTTTTTTCAGATAAAGATGTACCTTTTGGTTAACCTTTCCACAAGTAAAGTACCAAGCTCATTGGACAACTTCTCCCATTTGGATGCATTAACCGATGTACAAATGTCTCTCTCTTAAGGAAGATGAGCTTTTGGGTCTGTGGGTACTTGCTGTGATGGTTTCTCTCTGTGTTATTTCAATGATGCTCTTTGTGGAGGCAGCTGTGTGCTGATGGAAGTCTGAGGTTAATGGCTCTTCAGTGCTGAAGCTTTCAGTAGTTTTGTATTATTTTCTTAAATACCAAGGGTAAGTTTTTGAGGGTTTGTTTTTCTGTCTTGCAGTGGTTTGTGTTGTGGGGTTGCAAGTTCTGTAGCATTGCTGGACAGGTAAAACGCCATTCTCTCCTCACCAGCACACAGGGTTAGCTTTGTGCTGAGCCTAAAGATGAGCTGTAGTGCTCTGTTTGCAGGCAGAGCCACAGGGGGCAAGTCTGAAACTCTCTTTGAGCCCTGCCCTTGCTCACAGCCTAAAGGATTCCACTTCTTGCACGAGATGAAGTGTGTCATGTTTGTCATTTGCAGTTACTATTACACAGGGGCTTTGCACAACTAGGAAGGCTCAAAGGTGACTTTAAAGAAGGTCCAGGAATGAACCTGATGGGTATTCTGGCTTCATAGGGAGTTGGTCCAATCTCTATAGCTGAGTTGGAAAGCCAGTGATATTTTATGTTAAAAACAGGTGAATGAAACCCCCAAACCAACCAACCAGCACCCAGTCAACCAAGAGAAAACCCACCAAACCAAGAAGGTCCAGTGCAGTGGTCTACCACCTTCAGCATTTTCGTACCTGGGTAGTTCTGAGCTTTGTTTTGCCCTTCTGAGATTATTCTCTATAGGAATTCAGTGCTGCTGCTTGGCACGTTCCTGCTTGCATCGCAATAAAAGTGTGTTAGCAGGGAGTCTGCTGGGTGCAGAGTTTGTCTGGGGCACAGCTTTATGAAGTAGTAAATTTTCTGTTGCTCAATCTAATATTCTAGAGAAAAACACTAGTACAGGGAAAGGAGAACGTTGCTTCACCTTCCAGAAGTGCCATTAGAGATCTTGATCTTGTTACAGTCTTTTCAATGCTATTACTTGTACGAACAGTAACATATGAGGATTTAAAATCTATTGCAGTCAGAAAGGACAAAGAAAGAGCAAGTGTCAATACCAACAGACAGCAACCGACTGCATTAAAGAAAGGGAGATAATGCTTGTACCAGCCCACTCTCGGAGATCAGATCTCAGAAGGGTGAGTTTAACCCCCATTAATTTTAGGGTGGGTTAACTAAGCCCTGTGACCTGTGTCGTTAAACGCTGCTCAAAATGTGCCCCACACTTAAAAATACTCAAGCAGCTCATTCTGCAAAGCTGCATCATGGCAGCAGCTCTGGGGGGGCTGCAGTGCGGTTGGACAGCGGAGGTCCCCTGGAGAAGCATCCTTGGACTGCCCAGCCTTCTTCTGCTTGTAGGCTCATTGGAAATGGCCCTTCCACACTAGAGCAGTGCTTAATACATCACGTGGGCTCTGTTCATTGTCTACAGTTAGTAGTCTAACCTAGGTTCAGCAAAGTAATTAGGAGAAATAATTAACAGCGCTCAGTAATGAGGATACCTCTCCCTCCCCATGTGGTGCACCATGGTAATAACTTAGAAAACACAAGAGGACATTATGAATCAAAAAATAAGTCTTTACCTGTAATTAACTGTGCACACAAGAAGAAAAGTGATCAAGCAGCCATTAATAGTTGCTTTACTGGAGGAGGATACACCAGAATCAAATGCTCATGGCAAAACGTCCCTTTAAGTTGTGGTTCTTGTATAACATTTAATCCAAACAAAAAATAAGTCTCTACCCAAAAACGTATTCGAACCGTACACCATAGAGATGTGTGTGGATAAGACATTGCACTCCTCATGTACCATGTGCCTGATGGCCCTGCCTTCTCTGTTAAGTGCAAGAAAACAAAACCCAGCAATGAAAATACAGAAATCAATGCAGCAACTAGAGTTGTAGGCAACGGTACGTGGTGGGACGTGGGACTATGCAGCAATGATTGACCAGAGTCCCCCCCTTCCCTCCCTCCCCTTTCCCCTGCCTGTTGTGTTATGGGTCTCTGGAATTGAGTTGACATGACAGGCTCCTTCAATACAGGACACTAAGAAGAGTTAAAATAAAAAGAACACCCCAGCCTATACCAAAGTAAAGAAAGTAATAATAAAAAAAACACCCCTTGGATCGCGGCACTATTTCACCAGGGCCCCGTGGCCCCGGCCCTGTGTGGAGCAGGGAAGGAGTCACTGTGCAGAGGGAAGGATGGGTCTATGCCCCCGCTGGGCTGCTGGACCACGGCCCGGCACAGGCTGGTGCAGTTCCCGTGGTGCTGATCGGCAGCCGGCTCCATGCTGCGGCCACCCCGGCTGCTGCCAGGATGGGTTCATGGGCAGGAGTCAGCCCCTCGTGTTCCGTGCACCCCTCTGCTCGGGAAGTGGACTGAAAGACGTTGTGCAAGTCCAAGCGTGAAGGAAGGCGGAGGAGACGGTGGGGAGAGCCACCCGGTACCTTGGTCTCCCCCGGCCCCTCGGGTGATGTGCCTGGGCTGAGCTCCTTCCTCTGCATGTTCAGAGGTCCCCCCACCCGTGCAGCTGGAGGGCGAGCACCCCGAGGAGGACGGCGCCGAGGCTGCTGCGCACGCTGGAGGCACCATCGCAGTCCTTCTTGTCGGCTTCACACCTGGATTGCTGGCACAGGACCCCCTTGAAGCCCACAGGGCAGATGCAGCGCTGGTTCTGGTAGCATGTGCCGCCGTTCTGGCAGAGCAGGAGCTCGTCATCACAGACGTTGGCTATAAAGTGAGAGGGAGGAAAGGATTTGAGTGGTAATCCGGGCTATCTTAAACCCTTTGGCTGCAGCACAAAGTAGAAGCTTTTGGCTTTCTTCTTTAGCTCCTAGGGGTTGAATTATTCAACCCCTTAGAGCAGTCCCAAGGCCAGAGGAACACAGTGGGGATTGCAAACTCCAGGAGCAAAGCTATCAAGTCATTTTCAGATTTGGGAGAAATGGCTGGAACCTGCTCACTCTGAGCATCACGGGGGACCCGAGCAGGCAGTGCTGAGGATCCCCCTCTGGTTTGGACCCATCTCATCCCCACCCCACCACTGTGCCTCAGGTACTTACGGAAGCAGCCCTGTCTCCAGTAGTAGTTGGGCAGGCAGTCGTCACACTTGGGCCCCGTGGCACCTTCCTTGCATTCACAGTAGCCGGTCTCATTGCAGCGGTCGTGCATGGAGCCGATCTGGTTGCAGTTACATTCTGGCCAAAGACAGGGCTGTCAGTGCCTGCCTTGCCTGAGGGCCTTGTCCCTGTTATTGCCCCAAGGGAGATGCTGTGACTTGGGAAAAGCCTGGCTACATGCTACAGGAGGGACCTTAGAGACCAAGGGGCTGGGAGAGTGTGGCTGCGTGAGAAGTTCCCATGAGTGCAAGCAGCCATGAGTGCAAGACCACCCCTCTTTGGAGCTGAGCACCTTCTGGTAGAGCAATGCGTCTGAATCAGGTTGGAAAGGCAGTATTTGGGCTTTGTTTCCAGCAGAGAGATGCCTTGGCAGGCTGCAGAGACTGTAACGACTGGGGGCATGCAGGTCCCCTCTCTTTCCAGAGAGGGGCTGAACTGAAGCCCACCCCATAGAAGAAGGTTCTACGAGAGCCATCCCACGTCCCGGTGCTGCCACCGCAGTGCTCACCTATGCATACATTCTCGTCATCCAGCTCCGCCGAGCTGTTGCGGTAGAAGCCGAGGCGGCAGTGCTGGCAGTGCTGGCCCCTCGTGTTGTGCTTGCAGCTCACGCAGGTCACCACGTTCAGGAAGTCGATGTAGCTGCAGCGGTTGGAGTGCCCGTAGCACTCGCAGTCTGCGGAGAGCAGGAGAGAGCTGGGGAGATGGGCTGGGAGCATCCTTCCTCACGCTGGGTGGAGGAAAGGAGCCCCGACCGCGGCTGACACAGGGCTGGGCAGGATGGGTGCACGCAGGGGCTGCCATGGGGGGATTGGGGTGGAAGTCACTGCTCAGAGAGGGGGGATCTGTCCCCTTGGGGTGAGGACAGGCAGGAGCCAGCCCCTGGCTGTCCCAGGACATGATCTCTTTAAGGAAAGGCACAATGATGGCAGCAGGCATTGGAAGTGGATCAGGTGTTAATTAAAGAGCTGCCTTGTTAATGAGCAGAGCTCAGCTTGGTGCTTGGGATTGGCTCTGGTGGAGCCGCAGGAGCTGTGGGGGAGCTGGGATGGGGGGGCAGAGCCCCAGCGAAGGCTGTGCTCTGCCTCCCTGTGGCAAGGAGGGGACTGGTCCATGGATGGGGCTGGCAGAAGGTGCAGCAACGCTGCCTCCAGGGATGGGAAGGGCCTGGACAAGGCTGAAGTGGAGCTGGAGCTGCTGATGTCCAGGTAAAACCTCACTGCCTCCTGGCTTTTTCCCCTCTGTCCCTTCTGTTGTACCTCCAAAACAATGCTGGGTGTGAAGTGTGGTGACTCTCAGGTTAAGTGCTTAAAATGACTCTATTCAAGGAAGCGTGGCTTGCGTGGGGTCCCTTGAAACAGTGGACAAGTGCATGAAGGTTTGAACCAGGGCTGCCTGGCACAGCACAGGGATGCCTGCAAAGGCTGCTGGTGGGATGGGAGATGCCACCATCGCTTGTCCAAGCACTGTTCCTGTCCCCAGGGCTGACCTCTCTCAGCCATGGGCACATGCTAGGAAACTACCAGCCAGGTTTAATTTATAGCCAGAGGAACGTGATTATTTGCTTCTTCTTGTTTGCTTTCATTACCGTGACTTGGGGTGGTGATTGCCTTGCAGTGTTCGGGTGCTGGGAGTTTATAACACAAGGAGAGGAGGTACCCTGGCTGCCTTGTGGCCCTGCTGTCCTGGTCAGGAGGTGTCCCAGCCAGCACAGGCAGTGATAACGTGAGCAGAAACAGTGTGAGCCAGGTCTGAGCTTCCCCAGCCTTTGGAGAGGAGGCTCGGAGCTGGGGTTTTGTTCCAGGCTCTGACATTAACCAGTGATGAAGGGATGGGAGGGAACGGTATGGGTTGGCATGCACATGCATCTGCAGGAGGAGACTTGTCTTAATGAAATGGTGTCCAGGGAAGATGGAGCAGGGCAGAGGTTTCCCCGTGGTTCATAACTGCCTGAGGAGGAGCTGAGATTCTGTTGTAATCTTGATCTTCTGTGAAAGAGCTTCTGCCTCTTCGACCAGTATCTAAAGGATTTCAGCTTGGATACTTCTGGCTGCTGCAATTCCCAAGCATTGTTTCACCCTAGGGATGCACTCCTGCATACAGCTAACCACAGCTTGGATATGCAAACCCTCCCCATCTTCTCCATGTCTGATGCTGCTGGACCACATCACTTGGGCAAAGACTGAGAGCCCTGGAGCACCGCTCCCTCCTCTTACCTTTATACGTTTCAATAGGAGCCACTGGGCCAGAGTCTGGTTTGAGCCGGATGAGTTTTGAGCTCTTTGAGGATGCTTAAGGGAAATCAGACACGTTTTCTCACTGCTTAGCACCGCTCCGTGTCCTACCCTACCGCGAGCAGCTCTGCTACGGGAACAATGCTGACCCGAGCCAAGACCACTGCTCTGGCAGCACTGGCAGCTATTTCTGCACCAGACAGCTGTAGCTGCCGAATTTCTCCTTCTTTTCTCCCCTTCTTAAAGTCGGATGCATGAAAAACTCGCTGCACAGCGCTATCGCAATGTGCGGAGCCAGAAGGAGCTACTCGCTCGTCCCCCCTTCATGCACGTTCAGTGGTGGGCATTGGGTTGTTCAGGATAAGGATCTACAGGTCTGAACAGCTTAAAACACATCTACTGGTCACGGCATTGGTTTGATGGAGGTCACACCAACTAGCACCAAGAAGCTGCTAAGGGAGCAAGGGCTACGGAGGTGATATCGGGCAGGGCTTGCTGTAGGGTCCTGCAGAGCAGGCGCTGCTCACGTACCTGGCTTCTTGCCGTGCCTCTTGCCTGCAGAGTGTGCTGTGCGCCCTGCTTTGCTCTTCGGAGCTGCTACACCGGACAATGAAACACATCTGAGTGCCGTGGTGGGGCCAGGGCTCCCAGGGTGAGCCCAGCATGGCTGGGCTGGGACGTTTCCTCTGGGTAAGGGGCTGCTCTGACCAGGATGGAGCTTCCTTGGGGCTGTGCTGCCAGCCAGACCCCCTCCCACACTGAACGATTGGGGTGCTGGGGGTAAAGGCCATCACCTGCAACTCAAGTTGATGGGGTTCAGTGCTTGGTAACCCCCATAAAGAGCAAGGTTGAGCCATGCTGGGATCCCACACGGATCCTCCCTCTGATGCCATTTGTGAGGCTGCTGTGACACGGGGGCCTCCTTGGATCCCCATTGCTTCCCCTGACCCCATGGTGTGCTGGCACAGTGTCCAGACCCTCCTCCACCAGCGTGGCATCTCTAGCCTTGGACAGGCATGACCTTACCTCGCATGTTCTTGGGAGGGTCTGGTGGCTTCGGTCCACGTGCTGCTGTGTTTGGTGGGAGCTGAACAGCTTACAGTGGCATCAGTTAGAGAGAACATTGGATTTAATACACATCCTCCTCCTGTTTGTTTAAAAAGGTGGCAAAGGGACGCTGGAAGCTCTAGGCAGGGTGGGTTGGTGGAGTTGTATCTTATTGCAGACGGGTTGAAGCAGGAATGGGAGACAACGTCTCCTGGAAATTAGAGTCTTCAAGTGTGAGGAGAGACAAAAAGCACTCCTAAGGGGAGAGTGCAGGAGCTGCTGGATGGCTGAGTGTTGGCATGTGGTCATTACATTGCCCTAGCATGCAGAGAAGCACATCTGCAGACCACTGTCAAGGCTCAGAAACCCTCCTTTTTCAGCACAGACTGTCAGCATCACTTGGCATTGATGCCCATTGTGTAGGCGAATATGGTTTGTGAGACCACAGGCAGACCCAAAATGACAACAATTCCAAAGAACCTCAATTTCAGCACTTCCAGCCTCCCCAGTTGAGTATTTCCAAGCACTGGGCTGTGTCCTGGACCAAGCTTCAACAGTTACTGTGCTCTGCACTGGAAGGGATGCTAATGTCTGCAGCTGGAGCGAGCTACAGGCATCTCACATGGGAAATGAGAGCTGAGCACCAACAGGCAACTGCTGAAGCGTGCATGCTGGTGGGAGTGCTGAGGAGGAGAAGCTGCAGCCTGAACAGCCAGCGTGAAGCCTCCCAGGGCTCCCACCAGGAGCATCTCACCTTAGGCAGTCACGCAGGAGACCTGGAGCGAGGAAATGCACAAGAAGGCATCTCTGCTATGAACAACACAGGCCTATCTATTTACAAAGTTATTCTGCTCTACAAACAGACTCCGGTCTCGGGAGACAACAGGATTTCCATGATCCTCTCCGTTCACCCCAGCAGCAAGCTGTGAACAATCTCCTCTACCACTTACCATCCTCATCTTTCATGTATATGACTAAACCCCGAGGCTCAATCCAGCCTCACCAGATTCCCAGCTGCGTGTAGGGCACAGACAAAGACCTGAGCTTTTTCCCAGGTGAGAGGAGGAGAGAGATGCATGGAAAACAGAGACATGGATCTAGAAACTAAAGTGTTTGCTGAGCACTGGGAGCTGGTACTCGCTGGCAGGACCCAGCTCAGCCACGTGTCTCCTACCTTCTGCTCCGGGGCCATCCTTGGCTAGGGGAGAGCTCACTTGCAGGGGGGCAGCCTCTGACAAGCTGGTGTAGTCTTGTAGGGATCAAAGGGAAAGCAGTGTTATTGGGTGTGCTGGTAACCAGCTGGTGACCTGCCCTGATGCACAGAGCAGGATGGCAGTGGTGTGATCATAGAGTCATGGAATGGTTTGGGTTGGAAAGGACCTTAAGATCATCCAGTTCCAATCCCCTGCCATGGGCAGGGATGAGCTGCCCGATCTCAGCCCAGCTGAACGCAGGGTGCTCTGCTCATCTTTGCTTAAGGACCTCATCCACAGATCTGCACCCCTCTGCTTTGAAATCATGGAACTGAGGAATAGCATGTGTGTCTATGGATGGAGGCACAAAGTCCTGGTTCCTAACCCAAACTTCCAGGCTCCCCTTCAAGCTCTGCTTGTCCCTTAGAAATACCACTTAAAGAATTTGCAGTTAATCCATCAAGAAATCTATAGATCACTTGTTTGATTTCCCTGCAAACCCTCCCCCCCCCGGCCCCATACCCCTCCCCGTCTCCTCAGTATTGGTAACAATCCCCAGGTTTGCTAGAAAACAAACTAAGGAATAAAAAATTTAAAAGCCATATTATTAATTTGAGGCTCCAGTTGGGTAACATAAGGAGGAGGAGAGAAAAAAAAACCCAGCTCTTGATCCTTGCCAAGTTTCAAAGGACAAACCCGACTAGGAGAGAAATGTGATTTCCCAGCCTCAAACAAGGGGATGATAAACAATGCAGAATAAAATAGAGCTTGTCATTAAAAAATCATCCCTTTTCCTAGGAGAAGGTGATAGACATTGTCCTTTTCAGCTGGAAAGTGGAAACCAATTGATATTAATACGGTGTTAAAGAGAATATGAAAAAAGCCCCGTGCAAATTGGCAAGGGTTTAATTAGAGTCACAATAAAAAACAGCCCTGGAGGCATTTTGCTTTTTAGTCATTCACATACACCTCCACTCAATCGCGTTTACAGAGCCAGGGAAATTATTAATGCTCATTATCCTGAGAACCTTTCCCTTGTTGCTCTGGGACATTCATGGACAGTTTTACATGCTGGGAGGGGGAGAGACACGTTTCACCCCCAGACCCAGCTCATGCTAATGGGAAAGTCCAGGCAGCTCCTGTCCCAGGGGCTTGTATCAGCCCTGATGGAAACTGGTGGTCCTGGTGGGTTTCTAGGGAAGTAGAGTAAATGGCACCAAGAAATCACGCTTTGTAGCACAAACCACTGGGGGAAACAGCACGGGGATGGTGGGGAAGGACCCAGAAAAAGTCCTTCTCAAAGCATAAACACAGGGTTTTTTTTCTGCAGCAGCTGCGCCAAGGGCTTTTGGTGCTCTCTTTCTGTCCACCATGCAGGGTGCAGGTTGGGTTTGTTTGTCTGGAGGTGAACTGGCTCTGAGGAAACTGCTACGAACCAACGAACCAGAAGGGGGGAAATGGAAGCGAATAAATAAAAAAAAAAATAGGGTTTTTTTGGTTTTTTTTTTGCTTATTTTGAGCATGGGAGAAATGTAACAAATGGCAAGGAAGAATTTGACAGGCTTCAAGGAAGATTTCAAAATAACAGAATCGCAGAAGGCAAATGGGAATAGCACTTAATGCATCCTCCTTAGGGTAGCTCTGCAGTTTCCCTTCCTTCTACCCATTCTGGCAGCCTTGACTGCCTTCAGACCACAGACCGTGCCCATAAGCTCATTCTTCTCTCCCCTCTTACCGCATGCCAGGCGACCGGGCACAAAAGCATCCTACGAACATGACCACAGCTCCACCTTGACCACGGAAAACACCGCGAGCAGCCAAAGGAAGCAGATGTCTAGCAGATCCATGCAACCCAGAGACAACCCAAATCTAATCTACTCCTCTAGCCTACGTGCTACATTGCTTTCTGCCTTGCCGCTACCCACTAACGTGCGGAGGCATGAAGGAGAAGGGAAAAACACATCACTTTGGCTTTAAATACCTGTTTTTTTCTCTGTTTCTCTCACGGGCACAGCGAACTCAGAGGCTGGTCTGAGGATGCTTGCTTATGGTGGGAAGGAGAAATTCAGGGGCAGAAGACAGTGTGTAAATCAGAGGGTGAAACAGCGCAGGATGGGGCAGGGCTCTGAAAGGGCTTTCAAAGCTGGCAGGTTGAGCTGTCCTAAAGCAAGGAGGGATTTGTGCAACGCTCTATAATTCTTAAGGCAGATAACGACAGAATATCTCTCGTTGGGACTCTGACCCAGCTTGGGTTTTATTGCATCTCCTTACCAAGAGCTCCAAGGGGCATCTCTTTAACAAGGTGTTTCTCATGAGGTCCAGGCAAGTTAGATTCACAGCCCTTTGGGGATGTCATGTATTTAAAGAAGCATTTATATTTTATGCTATTTGTATTTTATATTATTTTATATTATTTAGTTTATATTTTGCAGGGGGAGGGATGTCTCTGGTCAAAAGCAGATCTGAATTAGGCTGTGAATTGATTCCCTCTTGCTCATCAAAGGCATACAATGGACCTTCGGCCTCAAACCCAGCATGCTGCCCATGAGCAGATCCCTGAACCGCTGGGTGGCCCTGACTACCTTCTTATTTGAAACAGCACCTCCAGGGACTGTCTCCGTCCCCTGGCACAGCATTCTGGGGGTCTGGATGGGGTTGAGGAGCTCAAAGCTCAGGCCTGGCCTTATCAAGCCAGAGATCTGGCGGCTGGGCTGTGATTTACTCATTTATTTTGTCCCTTGCCATCAGTTAATGGAAGCATTCTGAACACATTCAGATCAGGTTTTGGAGAAGGAATAAACCTAAGGTACATCACATCACCCTTGGAGAAATTTGGCAGGGGAGACTATCCCCATCACCCCCAACCCCACGCAGACGCTATCCTGCCCGCCCCAGCTGAAGCAGAGCACTGCAAGTCATAAACAGTATAGACACTGAACACACACCCTCACGTACACAGCACTTGTAGGAGAAATAGACCTAAAAGCATCGCTACAGGTGAGCATGGATAAAGATCAATGCTCCTAAGCGCATGGTGCAGACGTAGATGTGATCCCCTGCTACCAGTGGGGCCATGTGAGCTCTAGGCAGGGCTGGTGGATACCAATGAGGTCCTGGGTAAGGAGCACTTCTCCTGCATTCTTTTGCCCAGGGTCCCTCCATCTCCAAGGAAGTTGGAGCTAAACTCCGTGCTTCCTGATGAGCTACTCGAGCAGGGTACTTCCACGAATATATCTATATTTGCATAAACATGCAACCAAGTTTCCTCATCCCTTTGACTGGCTTCTGGCAGCTCCCCCAGACAGACTGTTACTAACACACTGTGGGTGTAAAACGTCCTCCTGGGAAATATCAGGCCCAGAAAGCGTGGCGAGGGGAGGAATGTGTGTCTAATTCCCCCATGAGAAGCTTAAAAAAGTGTCCTGCTGTTAAGTCCTCTCTGCTCGGTTCCAAACGACAAAGCGAAAACGTTGTCCCCTTGGTCAGGGGCGGAGGGAAGGAGGAGCCCCCCGAGAAAGGATAAAGGTTTTCCTCCATGGGGTGGTTTTAGTAGCTAGAAAGGGTGTTTGTGGTGTATGTGTGAGCTCCAGCCCGGCGCGCTCCATGGATGCTTGTACAGCAGCCTGGGGAATGTTAATGGAGGTCGGGATAGAGCAGGATGGAGTATGATTCCTCTCTCCTTCCAGCCAGGCAAGATGGGGTATGTGGTTTAATTTACAGTGGGACAGTAAAGCCTTAATTGCCTTCCTGCCATGCTAGTGCTGGAGCTGTAAGAGAGCATCTCCTGCAGCCGTGCCAGCCCCGTGCAGAACAACGGTGCCAAGTGGCTCGAGGAGGGATGGGTTTTGAAAACCTTTCTCTTTAGAAAAGAAAAAAACAAAATTGAGAAAAAAAAAAGGGAAAAGTGTTGCTTCCCCCGCAGCCAGTCCTGGCTTCACTTCTTGCTGCCTTGATGATAACAGAGTGACAGCAGAGTGAGATCACCCAGTGAGGGGGGGGGATGTCAACCCATGGTGCGGTTGTTGGCTTTGAGGTGGACCTGTTGTGGCTGGCTCCTTGCTTATGGGGACCAAAAGGCTTCTAGCTCATGTTACACGTCAAAGTGCCCTTGAACTGAATGGAGAGAACAGCAACGCAGGTCTGCCCAGGGTGATTTTTATCCATGTCCCTTTATCATCCTACAGAGCAGATAGCCAGGGCCACCGACACTGGGATGGGAAGCAGCTATAAAGAGGAGCAGTGAAGTCCTGGCTCTTGGAGCGAGGCAGGGAGCGTGGCACCAACCTGGCTGGGTGGTGGTGGCAGGCAGGGTGGTGGTGGTGGTGGTGGTGGTGGTGGTGGTTGTTGAGGTGGTGGTGGTGGTTGTTGTTGAGGTGGTGGTAGTGGTGGGCGCTGTTGTGGTGGTGGTTTTTGCAGTGGTGGTTTTTGTGGTGGTGACCCGCTGCGGTCGCTCATACGCTAGCAAGCAAAGAGAAGAGGTGGAGGCACTTACTGGAGGGGGGGATGGATGGAGGGTTTCCTTGCCAGCCCATGAGGCTGCTGCACTGGTGACCGATATCCCAGCGTGGTTACAACTGGGGCACTGGGGGGATTAAGGCTCGATGACGCTGGGTGCAGCGAGCGCCTGTGTGCGTGCAGGAGGCTGTGACTGTATCAGCATCAGCTTACCCTGCTGGTGCAGATATTGGCTTAAATACTTACAGCTCTATCATAAACTAATTGCCAATTAAGCTGAAAAGGGGAAATGAAGCACACTGTGGCACAGATGGGGTGATGAGCATGGGGGGGAGCAGAGGAGCCCTCCCAGCCCACCCTGCCAGGAGCTGCGCTTCAGTGCTGTGCTTACGCTGCCTGATGTCTGTGTTCACGGAGCCCTGGCTCCATAACAGCACCATCTCCTTCCGCCACCCAAACTACCCAGCACCATCAAAACCAACCCCTACAATTGGCACTGTATTAATTTCCACTGGCAAATTAATTAATGGCTTAACATCACAAGCCCCCGTGGAGCTGAGCAGGAGCGGTCCTGGGTACACCACCGTGCTCAATGCAAGAGCCCCAACTAAAATAACACTGGAACACAAATTCCTACTTAATTTATACCTGCTGCCCTCCTGTCCTTGCTTGTCCCACTGCTTCAGGCAGATTATCATGCTTAATTTCATAATAGCCCTGAGCTAGTTTAAATACTTAATTTAGGTCACTTCTAGTCTCCTATGCAGGCTAAATAATCTCTCCTTAACCGGCCTTGGACACAAATCCCTCCTGTCCACCTCCTGCACATCGCTCCCAGCACCCCCACAGCTTTTTCCTAGCAGGACATTGTGATGGGAAACATTTTCCAGTGACACAAAGGTGGCACCGAGGATGCCACGTTCTGTTAAGGGAGGAGAAAAGATTCATCAATATGGTTTTCATCAGGAAAAGAGTGGTTTTGACTGTTAAAACATTGGGGTTTTTAATCCCAAATTACTTAAGGGATTCCTTCAATTCTATTTGGAATTTTTAACCCTTTCAGTTTAACTGCTTGAAACCCTTTCTGGGTTCATTTACCCAGAAAACCCATCCTCCGCTTTCCAAATAGGTGTATTTTTTCTTAACTTCATTTGTATCTCTCTGGAACTGCTTCTCCTCTGATTCTTTCCCCTTGCCTGCAGACCAAAGAAGTCATTATTCCTTCAGCTCCCTGATTTGTTTCTTCTTGAGGGTAATTCTGAGCCATAAAATAGAAGCCCAGGTTTCTGCTTACCCCAACCTCAAGACTCTTTGATATCAAACGACCTCCAGCTTTGTTAAATAAGGACTCCTATCATACCATCAGTCTTCCAGCAGCAATCCCAGCGGAGCTCTATCTTTGCTGCCAACACTTCATAGATGTATGTTTATATACATACACATGTACATATGGATGTACACGCTCTAGAGAGGACAGCCCAGGGTAACCCAGACTGGATGCTATGCCAAATAATTCAAACCCAGCTCCTTCTCAGAGCAGAATTCAGCAATACTGGGGCAGGGGGGGGAAAGTTCACAGTGAGCACTGATGGGTTTGAAGAGGCTTTTTTATTTCCTTTCCGGCTGCCATACTAACGAACCTCATGGGGGGAAACCGTGCCAGAGGAGGAGGCAAAATGAGGCTTCTGAAGTCAAAGCAGGAAAATGTAAGACTCTTTGACAGGATGGAAAATGAAGCACAATTAGGGAAGAATTACTGCCTGGAAAATGGGAATGGACAGAAAACAACCATTTTTGTTTCCTAGTGACATCCACAAGGTTGTACTTACTGCCAAAGGCTGAGCCTGCAGCTGCACCTGGAAAACACAAGGAGAAGCCCGGTTACTGGAAGCAGGACACCATTGGCTCTGACACCAGCAGAAGATCACAGAGTCACGACGTGGGACTGAACATCAAGGAATTAGCAGGGGTCTTGCTCATAGGCATATCTGTTTGCTGCAAGAGCTTAAAAGCTGCTTTTGTCAAACGCCAGAGGCAACCAGACAGTGCTGTCTGAGGTCTTGGCATCTCAAGCCTTTCACCTGGGGGAGAAAACCAGCATGGTCCTTGATGATGGGTTTTTCTGTTCATCGTTTCCTTGATGTTATAGGCCAAGAACATCTTCTGAGGTTCACTGGGCTAAGTACAAGCTGTAAGGGCTGAACCGGGTGCTGTCACAGCCGGGGGAGTTCTTAGTGAGCAAGGAAGGTTGAACACCCTTCCTGCTGCAGCACTCACTCAACAGGACACTGCGAAGTCACTGGCTTCAAACCAACCAGTTGAGGGCCACCCAAGGACCAGCTTCTGGCTTTCAGCACCCAGGAAACTGATGGCCGTGGTCTTCCCCATTGTAACAAGTGGAAGAATCATGGAAAGTCTCAGCTTTGCATGAACATAAAGCACAGGACCGGTGATGGAAGAGGTGAGACCACCAGGAGGAGAGGGCTTCAGAGAACTGCCTCTGTTGCAGAGGAACAGGATAGG